CCTGTACAATACTCATGATAATATATGGAGGAGTTTGTGGGACTGCAGAGTCACATGATGCTCATTAGGGTCATTCCATTACTTGTTTTTATTTATGACATGCAGCATCAAGGTCGTTCTGGCCTGTGTATTAAATGGTTCAGTATTTGACATTTACACCTTTCCCTGCCAGTTGACGGCTTCTGCTCTAACTGAAAAAATTACAAGATCCACTGGAAACAAAAAAATAACCCCTTTTAGGCAACGCATTAGTCATCCTTTTCTGTGAAGTTGCTCTATTTTGGGGGTGAGTCATCCTCTTGATGAAGAGACCCAGATACTGGAAGTGTGCCACAATGGCGCGGCATTTGTTCAAATTCACCAAAAAAACCTTCAGACCAAATAGAAATGGTTTGGTTTTGTAATGTATACGATTGAGGATTTTCTGAAACATTTCAAATCTTTGAAAGAAAAACAGGCTGAACATTGACCTCGCATTCACCTTTGCGAAAGGTTTGTTATTTCAAACTTGTGTTAGAAAATGTTGCTTAACTTCTGAGCTTCAGCAAGCTCACAGCATGAACAGTAATTAGCAGATTCCCCCACCAGGGGTCTCTCAGAGAAACCATACAGAGTGTCAGAAATTCCTCCATTATTATAACTGGCAGAAATGGCGTCTGTAAATCCACGCTGAGCTGCAGGCTGTTGTGTGAAAATCCTTATTGTCTCTAGAACCTCTAGTCTCCTTTTAATTGTGGATCAACTCAGCAGGCCGACGCAGAATTGAGTCTCGGGGGTAACTTTTCAACGCCCTGTCTTTCCTAAGTTGACTTAATTTAGGGAATAAGGGTTTATGATATGTGAGACAGAACTGGAATGGCAATGCACCCATCGCTGGCTCCTGTAGCACCTCACCATAGGGGTGATTTTATATCTATATTTTTCGCCAGGTTTCTGTCTGATAATTCATGTATGGTATCAATAAAGATGAATTTTCACTGAAACTTTTGTGTCCTTATTGGCTCAAGCTGTGTTGACTCTTCATGTTGAGTTTTTTCATATACCCCCCCAGAGAAGCACTTTTAAGAGCTTCTTAAATAAACAAAAAAAACAAATGACTGACATTTCTCTAGTAAACATGGGGAAACAGCCCTTCTGGTGTGGGAATGTGTCATGATCCCCCAGGAGGAGCTGGAAAATGTTGCTGGAAAGAAAGAAAGCAAGGCTCAAAAATGAAGACAAGTTGTACTTGACAAAGTAGACAAAAATCTTCCCAGTTTCTAATTGAAGAATTAAAAGTTTGATTTGTAATTTGGAGCAACTATTGATTCTCACTCAACACAAACTTGGTGAAAGATGCAATTCATTGTTTTGAGCAAGTTACTCATTATTCATTGTTGGCTGGGCAGAAGTGGTGAAGATGGCAGCTATGATGGTTGGCGAGGAAAAAAATTGGAACGACAACTGATGACAGAAATTGTGACAATAGTTGAGTTTGGAATAGATGGCCATTGTTACAGATAGCTGTTGAAGGAAGAGCTAGATGTCTCGTTTCTTTGCAGATTTAGTGAAACTAGCATCTTAGGTGTAGGCTACAACAACAACAGACACAATGGAGACGAAGAGCAGAGTCAACAACACATGATAGAAAGTAGGTTCTAGAAAGTAACCTGAAACTAGGGGTTAAAAGGGAAGTGAGCCTTCGGGGTATGCAAAGGTGAGGGACAAGATTAAACTGTTTGGATTCTCGGTTTTATTACACCCTAACACAATGAAGGATTTGGTTAAAGGCTACATGAATAGCCAGCTTTAAAGATAGCAAGGGAGCATAACACTTTGCAATACTGGAATGAGCCAGGAGGGTTACATAAACTCCCTGGCTGACCAACCTTCAGTTCTAACTGCTGTTGTTGGATAAAAATGTGCCATTTGAATAACCTTAATTCAAACATATGTGCATACAGTAATATCCAACTCTGTTCCCTCATCTCAAACTGTTAGTTAGACTGTTATGTACAGTGCCTTGAAGATGAAGTCTTGAACCGGGTATCCAGAAATGTGATATTACCCGTGCCCAGAATTTTTGGCTGTCACCCTCAAGAGGCCAAAAGCCCCCGGCAAATGGGTTCTCAAATTGAGAACCCACTGGCACAACTTCACCAATAGACAAGGTGCATGAGGAGTGAAAGGCTAGAAGAGGTCAAAATGCTCCAGCAAAACTTAAAGTATGAAGATCAACTTTATTAACAAATTAGACCAAATTGACTCTTTCTGCATTTATCAGCAACTGAAAAGAAAATGCATTATAGATTCGGAGGGGAATTGAACTGAGAGGTGTTTAAAATCTATTAGCTGCCAATCTACAGCTCATGTTAGCAGTAAACCCCGTCTACAGATTGTAACATGGGACAATAGGAAAAAGGTCCAGTGTTTTTGTATTTGCAGGTTTTAATGGTTGTGTTCAACATGTACTTTGAAATTTGAGAGTTAAACGTCCTTGATTCTGACAACAGTAAGTAATGTTAGCTGGAAGGTGGGTGAGTGCCAATTTTAGCTATTGTCTGATGGTAGCTAAGGGATTGGCAAATTAATCAAACTTGTTTTGCTGTGAAATACTGCCTGTAGTCCTTCTGGATTTTCACTATCCATTGTGTTTTATTTTGTTGATCATTTTTGGAAAACAGAGCCTGGATCAAAAAGTACAGCAGTACAATCAGAGGCGCTGCTTGTCAACAGGCAAGGCAGGCAACATCTTGGGGCCCCAACCAGTAGGGGGCCCCAGAGGGCTCACAAACTTAAACCAAAGCAGTTGCCAAAAATGTACACATTTTGCAATAACAGTAGAAAACCTCCCTAAGGGGGCCCTATCTGACAGCACTGACTCTTGTGGCCCTACTAAGCGTTGCATGCTTTATTGCTGTGAAACCAAAATTTGTCAATGAAAATCCACAGAAGTGGAATTCTCCGTCTGTAGGAGAGAAAAAAGAAACCGGGAAAAAAGGAGTACGTTTCTGGACACTGGCAGACATAATGGTAATGAACGCTGGTTGGAGGGCCCTCTAGTTGATTTTTGCCGAGGACCAGAAACAGACTCTAATCACCACTGAGTACAATGAAGAGGTATACCCTTAATGTGACTTCAGATGAAAATGATGGCCTTGACAATATGGCAGGGAATCCCTTGCAACAGTTTCCTTCTAGCTCACAAAGTCAAGTCAAAGTCTTCTTTATTGACAATTTTGTCATATGTACTAGACATACAGAAGAATGTCCCTCCCACCATCTTGGTCAGCTTGAAATGTCTACTGTTTGGAAGCCATTGAGGGAATATGGCTGTAATTTAACTACAAAAGTAACTCAACTTCAATTAGTAGTTTAACAGAGAGAAAAACAGCCAAACAGTTGGAGTCACCATAGTGTTCGTGTAATGCCTCGTTCCCTCACTGGCTTCCCACTGGAGTACACTTTGATCCAACATGATTGTGAGCTGCTCATTGGGGATAATCACAAAGTTAGAGCACTACAAGGCCTCGCTAAGTCATCACATGCTAAAGCCACAAGATAAGTGCTCTGCTACCAGATTAAAGGATCATCCTGTAATTGATGACTTGTGTGTGTTAAGTTGAATCAGGGACGAGTGAATATCAAGTGACTGCGCACCTGATAAAGACACCAAGGAAGGAGGACGACGCGTGAATACAACTCCTCCACTTCATATGCATCGGCAGAGTTTACACATGAACATTAAGATTCATGCATATTGTACAATCCTGTTCTTTTTCATGCAAATGCAGTGAAAGGAGAGTATCACAATGCCGTGCAAATTGTGGACCAAAATCAGAAGCTAGACATTTGTCACAGCTTATTTTCTCCCTCATCAAAGTGTGGCATCTTGGTGAGTAGCTCTGTTTCCTCTTTCTTCTTCTGAAAGTAGTTCAGGTAAAGTTCAGCCTGCAGAGCTGTAGTTGAAACATTGTCTTGCTGTATACAGCTTCAGAGGTATAATCTTACTATACTTTAAACAGTGCTTGCATAATTACACGCCTCTCTTTGACTTTTCTGCATTTTAGTGCAACAACATGGAAATGATGTAGACACTTATGTATATTATGTTTGTGTTTTTTACTGTTTGATAAACAAGAGCTATCCAAACAGCAGACATGTGTTGGATGCTGAAGCTAACCTGGGGGGCAATTGGTTGCACCTGATCATAGTAAGAGGTTTCACACCTAAAGACTAAAAGCTTTTCATAATAATGGGTGACTCATTTAGAATAATGTACTGTATAATGGCCTTGTATACCACTTTAAAATGATGGAGTATTTTGTATAATTCTATTGCAAACAAGCCCTTTAAACTGTATCTGCAGCAGGAAAGCATAAGGAAAAGCTTAAAGGGGGAGAATCCATATCCAAGGCAGTGTACGTTCCTTTTTCACAAACATGGGGACAATTTTATTTCTTATAATTTGCCAAGTATGGCAGCTGAAATAGTCCTACCGAGTATTTCTTGGCAACATTTAGATGTTGTGTGTTGACCAAAACTCCAGTCCCCGAGTGTATCTTTCCCATCAATCTTAATCCTGCACTTGGGCTGTGTTGTTGCTTGTTTGGAGACAACAACATTGCAGATGTGGGCTGATGCACTTAATCTAAAAAATCAGCTTTTTTAATGCACATTTCTTATTCACGTTGTGTCATCAGTTTTGTACAAAGTTACTTGAAATTTGCCTTTCCCTGTTCTCTTCTCATAAAATGATGGAAACTTACACCTGGTACATGTTGCTCTACAACCCCCCCCTGGTTCCCCCTCTGGCAAAGTCTAGCCTTCAGGAAACAAGGTGGGAAAATCCCATTTGTGTGAAGGTAAACCTGCATGCTCTTCTCGTTCTCACTATTCTTTCCCACGTCACTCCCTCCCTCTCTCCTTGTTTTTCTCTGTAAGACCCTCCCTTCATCCCTACCTCCCTCCTCCTCTGGCCTCCTCTCTCTCTCTCTCTCTCTCTCCCTCCCTCCCTTTTGTCTTACTGCCAGTGTTCTCCAGGCGAGCGCACAGTCAACTACAACTTGTCATCCAGAGCGGAGTGTATCAGGTTTCTGCGGGACTGAGAGTCACACACACACACACACACCCTCGCTGAATAGCTGGAGATCAGAGCAGCGAGACGGTCCTTCACTGCCCAGCCAAGGAAGGTGAGTAGACTGATAGAAAAGAGAGAACATTTATTTTTACTTTATCTGCTTTCCCACTCACGCTCTCACACGAGTACGTTTTTGTCACCAAGGAATTGAGACAGTTGTCAGAGCTCCAGTATGTTCAGTAAATATCCTCAGGCAAACATCATGTCATCTATAAGTCTCTTTAAAAACAAAAGAGGAAGACAGCTTACTCTATCCGCAAAGAGGAAGTAGACATGTTCAGTTAGTTCATTGCCTTACCCTTGTAAATTTATTTGCTTAGGCACTACACCTACAATTAAAAAAAAAACTTGATGAGGGTGTTCTTTGAAATAACCGAGGCAGAAGATGTTTTCCCTCCTGTTCTGATAAATGTTTTACTGTCCTCTATTCTGAGAGTGAGATCAGAGTTTTGGATATAGACAGGGGTGATGCAGGTATCTGATGTGGATGCAGCATTTCTGTGTGTTTACTATGAACACAAAGCTGACGCCACATGAAACTAGATTGAGTTTATTTATGAGTCGTATGATTTTAAAAACAGTTTTAGAACGTCCTGTATGCCACAACAGGACGAGTTGTGTGAGTGTGTGGAGGTGTAAAAGAAAAGGGCGCTGTTTTTTTCTCTCACAAACTAAACAGGTGTTTCTGTTACATTTTCTGTTTCATTCTCAAAATGTCATCTGTTTATTTCCACTCACATTGTTTCACAAAACCGCACCAAGACAGTTTTTTCTGTGACTCTGCCTGTGGGTTTCCTTAATCTTCAGCCTTGTTTGTCATTGTGTTCTGTTTTTATATCCTGTTTCCAGACGCGTCACTCATTTGGTGATGAGGTGATCACTCTTACAGGCCAGTTTTGTCCTGCCAAGTCTCCCCCCCCCCCTGCAGACATGGGGTTATGTGTGAATATGAGGTGGCAGCAGGGCAGCGCTGGAGCGTTCAGGGCCGGAGTAGGAGCACTCCTGCTGGGTCTCAGCCTGGCTCAATCCATCCCTCCACAGGCCGTGTGTCGAGCAGCCTTGGCCCAGCAGAGCCTCCCTGAGAACCAGTACCATGAAACAGCAGAGGGAGACTCCGGCGGCTTTCTGTCTGCGTTTGTCCAGTCTTTTCTGAACACAGTGCAGCCTAACCCCTTCCCTAAAGGTCAGTGTCATCTTACATCCTCACAGTTTTGTCTGTCTGTAAGGCTTTAGCTCACCAGGTTAAACCATGTTGAAATCTTTTGGGTTTCACACTATATATGTTAAGTAATACTTCCTTTAAATAGCAGAGGTGACACATCTTTTTCAAGCGTAACATCTGCCCCGAAGCTAATGATGTCCAAACAGAAAGACGCCTGGACTGGTTAATCAGTAAGTTAATGGAAATGCTTCTCTTCTCCCAAGTCAAACTTTAACTTCTTCACACAAGTTCCGCGCTGATGTCTAAAGGCTGGTGTTTCCTGTAACTGAAACTTTTGTTACACCTGTGGTCCTTTGTCCATTCTTGTGGCGTGTTCGCGTTATAATTGCTTCATAAATTCTTCTGTGTTTTTCATGGTACTTCCTGCTCGGGATTGATTTCAAACTGGAACAAATGGGCACACAAACATGCAAAACAACCTTTGCCCGGGTCAGAATCATTACACTCTGTGATCATTGTCTTGTGATCATACGTCGGATACAATAGGGATCTTTAAGCAACAGGCGCTTAATGATGCATAGACAGAGTTATGTTTAAATCCTATGTCAACATGTGTCAACAAGCTGTCCTCTATGATAAGGCAAATGGCTTTCTGTAAACAGTGGGGTTTCTGATTCAGAATAAGCCATCAAGCCTGAGGTTATAAATGTTGGTAGGTAAATAATAAATGTGTTTCGCATGGCAGTCAAAACAAGGGTTCACTCTGAACAAGCTGCGTCGGTAGAGGATACATGCCAACCGAACCACCCTCTGCTGAAATGTAGAATAATCATCTGGCAACTCAAAATGTCATTTTTGTAAATGTATTTATGCAATTCAATGAGTCATTTCAGATTTTTGAAGTATGGATCTCTAAGGGGATACACATTCATATATTTTATTGACACCATTTTCCACTGATAACGAGTCTTTTCTAAACGTATTTATCTCATTTTGTTGAGGTAACGACGCTGCTTTTCCTTTGATTGTAGTTCAGTGTAGTCTTCATCAGATTTTCTCTTATTTTTTTCGTTATCTCCGATGGATAACGCATTAATGGATGAATGATGGGACGGCTGTGGGTCAGCGGTAGAGTTGGTCGTTTCTCAACCGGATTGATCAGGGGTTCGATCCCCAGATCCAGCAGCCACCAGACACTTAACCACAAATTGCTCCCGCTGCATCCTCGGTGGCGTTTGCATTAGTTTCTTCTGATGGTCACTTTGGTGTGACCTGCGGTGTAAAAGCACTTTGAGTAGTCAGAAAACTTGAAGAGCGCTAAACAAGCTCAAGTCCATGTAACTCATTATCTTAAGTTAACAGTTCAAGCTTGTTTTCTTTTGATTTCAGGATCATTTTCTGGTGTTCAAAAAACAAAACAATAGGCTGGTCACTGAGATAGGCCTGAACATGACATGCCATGCTGCTATTGGCCACACTAATGCGGTTAATGAAGCCAACACCCACACATGACTTGTTATCACAGGAAAAGTTAAGTCAAATAAAATGTGTGGATCATGTCCGTTTAGGGCTTCTGTAGGGAAGAACACTTAGACTTTTCCTACAATTTGTTTTATAAGATTACCAGGAAAGTTCAGGAACTCTGAAACCTTCAAAAATCCTCACCACACATTCATGCAGCTCACAGCTTCACGCAATATTTGTTCACACTTCGCTGTGACTCGCTGAGGCTCCACCAAGAGATTTATGTCAAAGTTATTAAAACATTTTAAAGTCACACACAGCTGATCAAAATAAGAGAGGGAAGTTCATGCAGTTCACATCACAATCTGCTGTTACAGAAACACAAACAGATGGATAACGAGAGGGACAAAACACACTCTCGTAAAGAGAACGTAAACATGTATTTCAGTTACATGCCTGTGTTTAGTGAATAATAGCGCCACAATAGCTTGGTCCAGTGGGGCCGTAAAGGCTTTGTCTTGTGTGCGTGAAAAAAATCCACTCTCACCCTGAAAGCTGTCCTGGTTTCCTGGCAACCACGAGATGGAGGTGTCACATTTCCAGTGTTACAATAAGAGAGATTTGAATGTTTGTATAGAGCACAGGACACATTATCCACATGGTCAACTAGGACAGAGGCTGACTTTGACGGATTGTAATCAACAATACCTGTCCTCTTCTTGCTGCTACCCGTTGTCTTATTTCAGTAACACGTTTATTTCTTCGATTTCTTTCTAGATCTGGTCCTGAACGTAGTCCAGGATATGAACCAAGTGTTGTCAAATCAAGACCTTGCCAAAGGAAGTAAGCAATCTTTTTTTTCTTGTTTATCATCTGTTGTAGGATGTTGGTCTGAAGTTCTGCATGTGTGGTGGGGGAAAAAAAAGAGACACACCCTTCTCATGACTACTCGAGCTGGTAATCTGAGAGTGTTTAACACAAGAGCAGCCTTGTGTTTTCAGGGTCCATGTCGACTGGAGTGACTCTCTCAGCCTCTCTGATTGTAGACTGTCACCACATTAAACTGAAACAATAGTTTAGTGCCATCTCACTCTGTTTGACGTCACGACCGTCCACAAAGACCTGCCGCTGTGCTGCAATCATGGCTTTGGATTTGACATTAAAGTTGTAAATTATACATATTATTTGTATGTGTGTGCTCAGGCCCTGGTGTATGAAGTCGGATTCCTGGTGTGTGCAGCCATCGGCATCCTGTACATCGTCCTCATGCCCATAGTTGGTTTCTTCCTGGCGTGCTGTCGCTGCTGTGGAAACTGTGGTGGGAAGATGTACCAGAAGCAGACGTCCTCCATTCACTGTCGCAGGAGATCTCTCTACTGGAGCGCCTTCATCACCACAGTCATAATCCTGTGAGTGTGTGTGTGTGTGTGCTCTCATGTGTGTTTCTACACAGCATAATGACGGGCTATCTGAAATTAGCATCCCAAAAAAAGACAGCTTGAATGTGCACGCCTCACTGCCTGTCTGCTTCTCCCTCTGATAGACGTTCTATTCAGGTCTCAAATATAATCACTGTTTGTGTGTCTCTCTCGTGTGTGTGTGTGTGTGTGTGTGTTTAGTGCTGGGAATATATGCATGTTCAGAAGTAATCAAGGCCTCAAAGTAACTGTGGACGAGACTGCAGAGGAGATCAGCAACACTTTAGAAAACATCAACATCTTCCTCAGTGCTGTGCCTCAGGTGAGAGTGAACCTGCTGTCTACTGAACAGCATCAGTGTGGACATACTGTATATTATCATATTATATTTATGTAATAGATAGAAACTCAAGTATGAATGCTGTATTTTTTAGCTTGTGGACACTTTGGGATGTGCAATGTATTGCAAATATTGCGATTTAATCACTCATTCAAACGGCAAATTGTCTTCAAAGGAAACTTTGTCACACCTCCTTCATCCCTCAGTCCCACACACGTTGGGTGGCAGGGCTAACGGTTGGACATGAAGAGGTTCAAGTGAAAAGTATGGACACTTTGGGATGTGCAATGTATTGCAAATATTGCGATTTAATCACTCATTCAAACGGCAAATTGTCTTCAAAGGAAACTTTGTCACACCTCCTTCATCCCTCAGTCCCACACACGTTGGGTGGCAGGGCTAACGGTTGGACATGGAGAGGTTCAAGTGAAAAGTATGAAACATGTTTGAGTTTTTGAGTGAAACATAAACACACTGAAGAAAGCGCCTTCCCCTCAGTGTGAACACAGAGCTGAGAACAACAAACCCAGTGGGAGTTAGACTTCATTCTCTTTTTAGGTAGTCTTACTACAAAATATATTTACACAGAGTATATCCATTTTTTTCTAAATTGATATTCAGAATGTTGCCTATTATACCTTTAAATAATAAAAAATCAATGACTGGCATCTGATACGATATCCCCATTCATAGAACTGTGATACTATTCTGTATCCTTGTTAACCGACAAACGACTACTTTCTTTTTATTATCATGTGTTTAAAAATAAAAGTATATAATAAATGTATTATAATATATAAAAAAAGGTCTGGTAATTGCACGTTGCAGCATTTATGAATAAAAGTGAATTGGGGTTGGAATCATCAAAGAAAAATTAATACTAACATGATAGAATGTTTTGAGATTTCAAACACATGTGGATGTGTGATGTTTTAGAAAGTTTTTTTTGTTTTTTTTAACTGTACATTGTGTCCTCAAAGGAAAACTTCTTAAAATAATTGTTTTTCTGTTACATTAAAATGTAATGTTCATGTTATTTAAAACAATGATCCTGACTCTCCCCCTTAGATAAATACGATCTCACCATTAAATATTGGGTTTAACTACTGCATGGATTTACGACCTCTTCCCAGCGAGTTAACATATTCCTAAACATCCGTTTATTCTTTCATGTTTGATTCATAAATACGCAGATCTCTTTAGGATTGTCACATTTAGTTCTGATCCTCTGCCGTCAATGTGAGTCAACAGCATTTGCGTGAGATACAAACAACTCTGCTGTCAGTCTGCTGATTAACGACCAGCTCTGTACCCTGCAGTGTCAATACACTTATCTCAAGATACAACAGAGAGAGAAAAGGTTGCAGGGAAAGACAAGGCTGTGCTCTGTTTGTTTCTCTTCATTGTGCAAAAGCTGATATGTAGGATTAGCTCCTCTAAACAGCCCTTGACAAACTGAGTGTAATATCTTATGTGCACACTTTGAAACAAAGTCCTGTTTCCTTGTCTCTCCCCAGGAAGTGTACCACGTGGTGAATGAAAGCTACAAAACCATACAGGAGGTCACCAGGAACCTAGATAGTAAGAACAGGAACTAAAGAGGGATGGCTTTTGTTCGATGTAACTGATGCATCATAGAGTCTGTTCTCTTTAACCCTTTCACGCCATTTCATCTCTTTGAATCAGCTATAGGCCCTAAGCTGGGAAAAGAAATCCAGGAGCAGTTCGCAGGACCGCTGGAGCCTGCGCTGAGCTCAGTCAGACTTCTGGACGAAGGTACGATGCACCCGCGTGCTCCGTCCTGTTTCTGTGTAAGCATGTGGACGCTTGCGTGCATATTTGACAGAAGCGCTGTAATCACACAGGCGGAGACCTGCTCATAAGGACACAACGGGAGGTTGTAGTTTGTTTTATTCCTCACGCTGACTTGGAAACATTCAATTAGTTTGAAGCATGTTTTTGATTTTTATTTACAGGTTTTGTGTTTGATGACATAACAACAACAAAAAGCAGTGAAAAGTCCAACAGTATTTAAACCAGTGATGGGATCACTACAACGGTGACAGCAGCAGGATGATTGGTTGAGAGAGGTTGTGGCAAAATGTGTTTATTTAAATTACTTGAAGAGTAAACACCCAGAATCAGCTGATCACCAGAGCAGGGAAACGGAGGGAGTGGAAGAGAGGTAGTGGCTGAGTTGAATGAAGGAAACAGAATAAAAACAGTCTTCCTGTTTGAACTTATGCTGAGCTCCAATTATCTACAAAGTCATCCAGGGACCAAAAGCCAGTCTAGGATTTAATTTAATATGGGAGACATGCTGGAAAAAAAACTCATAAAGTAATAGTTATACTTACTTTAATTCAGTTAAGTACAAAGTACTACCAGGCTTTACTACTTCAGTTTTTTGAATGAACTCTAGGGCTGGGTACTTCCCACAGCCCCAGGATACGATACGCATCACGATGCAGAGGCCACGATATACAGATGGTGATATACATTGATTTCGGATGATGACCATGTCCTACACAGAATTCACTACAACAGCTGTTCTTTATTGTTGAGAATAGAGAGGCATAAGGATCCTACAACTTTAATTCAGCTCCTCAGAGATCCTAGAAATACATTAAAATATTAGAATATTCATACAGAGCTATGGCTAAGGCGTTATTGTGAACTACAAAAAAGTAAAAAAAAAAAAAAAAAAAAGAATCCACATCCGAGAAGGTTAAAGTTCTGAGAAGAAGTAGCTTCAATAGATTAAATGTAGTGGATTCTCACGTGTAACGTTTCGGGCCTCCTGCCCTTCATCAGACATGATGTGTCTGTGAACTGCACCATTGGGCAATTGTCTTCCAAACTGTTATCACAGCTTTGCAGCCATATCCATTCTGTAACATCTGAATCGATAGCATAGGCTTTAAATATTATAATAATAATATTATATGGTCAAAGAACCGAATGACGTCAGCCATGTGTTACTGCAGGGGGCTCTGGAGGCTCATCGGCAGCAGCCGCCATGTTGGAAATCTTATCTCAGCCTAACTTTCAGTCAACCTAACGACAGGCTGAGGGCGGGTTTTAAGCCTCTTTACGAACCGTTACATCATGCCCATCTGCCAATCATGTCAGCTACACGCCTAACTAAGGATAACACGCATCGTTTTCAAAGTCAAAACAGAGCCGTTAAAAAAAAATTCACAGTTCATTGTGATGACAATAAATAATCACACCTATTTTGTTATTTGTATCAGGTTGTAAACATGTTAATTTCTGCTGTCAAAACTTGTTTTTTGCCTGTTGTGTGTATGTGACTTCCGTGGCTCTTGGAGCCAGCCTCAAGCGGAAACTTGACAAACTGCAGGATTGATCGATACATGTGTTTGCAAGGAGCACATGGCAATATGTTGCCATATCTGTTGTTTGAGCACAGCTCTAATTAACACCCTTGCAATGTGTACTTATTGATGACAATATAAAGGACACACAGTAAATGGCGCAAGAGCAGACTCAGAGGGAATGTTCAAAAATCAGTCCTGTTAATCCAGGCAGGGGTTCGGTACACGGTTTAGCAACAACAAACAAATCCAGAGGGCTAGGCAAAGGCAAGGTGAAAAAGGATAGCGATTCATACACTAGGATCTAATATGAAAAATGCTGGGACAAAGGTACTATAACAAACACTACGAACTGGAAACAAGAGGGAGAACACACTGGGATTAAATACACAGACAATCAGGGAACAACGAGACACAGGTGAGGTGCAGGAACAAGAGGAAGACAAGGGTGAATACAAAAACACAGCATAAACCAGGAAATAATGCAGGTTGAAACCCTTGTCAAAAAGAGTTTGCGTAAATGTTAGTCACTTGGGTTACGTAAGTCAGTCTAGAAGTTTCCAGTGAAATCCTTTTTTTTTTTTTTGCTGTCTGCAATGACAAATTCAGTGCTGATAAATCATTTAACAACATGTTTCTTAACGCTGCCTTTTACAGTCACATAGAGCACAGAATATTTCCTGTTCCTCCTGACGAGTTGCTGAGCTTTACCCCTATGTTCTGCTGTCCTCCCAGTGCTGTGTTTGCATTCAGTTTAACGTGATGAACTTTTGGTTTGTGTCCGGGTTTTGGTGCCCCCTGTGGACAAAGGGATGTAGCTTATCTCTTTGCTGATCTTGTCCGGTACATGTTGTGTTGGTCGTGTTATCTGACAAAAAAATCTCTTCCTGCTTCTTCCTGCCAGAACTTTTGCTGCTTTGCTAAAGTTGGTAGTGCTCATGATGGATAGGCCGGGTCTTTGTAATATAGCAGTAAGTAAGGTCTTTTACCTGCTTTTTGTAACATAACAATGAGTAAGGTCTTTTTACCTGCTCTTTTGTAATGTTAAAAGACAAAGAGTAAGGTATTTTACCTGCTTTTTGTAAAGTGTCTTGAGATAACACTTGTTATGAGTTGGCGCTATGCAAAATAAATTGAATTGAAATTGAAATTCTTTTAGTCTGTAAATGTATCACTCATTTTAATAATCGCTGTGGAAACAGTAAATCATCTCATCTGAGAACTACCCTGCGGCAGAGGTTAGCTATGTGATGGCCTTGTTTGCTTTCATAGGTCATACAGAGATTAAATAAATTTCAGTATTTTTATTTATAAACAGTTAAAAACTTCTCACTGGGGCTTTTGAATACAAAGCCAGTGTGCATAGAAAAGGGTCATGGGTGATTATCTTGATATCTATGATATTTATTAAAACTTTGGCATTCACTGACGAGAACTTGTTTGTTTGTGTGTGTGTGTGTGTGTGTGTGTGTGTGTGTGTGTGTGTGTGTGTGTGTGTGTGTGAGTAGATACTGAAAACACAGGCGTCCAAGTAAACAAGCTGAACTCATCTTTGGCCCAGCTGCAGTCCAGCGTGGATCGCCTCCAGGCCAATGTCACTGCTATTCGCAATCGCATCAATCAAACTTTCTCCAACCCAAACTGCGTCGGCTGTCAGAACCTGCTGCCCGAGCTACAGAAACTCGACACACTGGACATGACCATCACTGTAAGTACTGAGTCTGAGTGACCTTGTGTGTGTGTGTTCTTCTTCACCTGCTTTCTACCTGAATGGATGCGTTTCATTTCACATAAACAAATTCAACGAGGATGGTTTGAACAGCCTCTCCTCTCAGGTGTGTTATGCAAATGAGGAATTGAGGTTTTGACTGCTCCGGTTACAAACCTACTGGAGAAGAGACGATTAGGGTTCATCTCTTTTTCTGGGCGAGAAGCTTCAGAAAGAACAATTTATGCAATGAGACTCAGCTCTGACGCAGGCTGGGACAGTGTGACACACGATGATAGCTCCTCATTTCTGGCTTTGTCTCGACGGCTGATTTGTCCTCCGCCCATCTGTTCTTCTCTATTCCTCCCACACTCGTCTGACTCTGACACATACACTCTCTCTCTCCTCTTCTCGTCTCTCATCAGATTTAAATTTGCTGTTTATCAAGGATGTTATTACATAATCCACATCATTCAAATAAAAAAACATCATTCAGAATTCTTGGATATCAACTCATTTACTTGTGGCCCTGACGTGAATGAAAACTCTCTAGTGCTTTCTTTTTTTTGCTGAAGTCTGGCGCCCCCTTCTGCTGGTTTGAAGCGTAGCAAGAGATTACATGTGATTCCTGGTCACAATGTTTGCACGTGTGTGTGCGTCTCTGCTTTCTCTCCACAGTTTCCCAGCTTGAATGAGCTCCAGTCTGCAGTGGATGAAGTCGTCAAAGTAAATCTCACATCCAAAATCGAGGAGGTCCGTGACATCTGATAGACCAAAACAAGCAATCAGTCTGCGCAACATAATGACTGCAGTGTTACAAAATCGTAATATGTGAACAGATAGAGTGAAGAGCATGAACAACTTTTAACCAGAGATAATAAATCAGCACACAGATAATCCGTTTCTTGTCAATTAGCCTCACATTTTGAATTGAAGTTAATGCGTGTAATCAGAAACAAATCAGTGGCTGAATGCAACAAAGCTGCTTTTTGTTTTAATTAGAAAAGAGACAATTCAAAATGAGTATGATGAGTAAACACTTTATCTTCAAAACTGTTTATATGATAAATTGTTAATAAATGTGCCGCTCTTCTTCGTTACAGGTGGAGGATTATTTTGACAGCATCCCTCAGAGAGTGACAAATGGCACCGAGGATGTGGTTCAAAGTGAGAGATCCAAATCTTCAGAGCTTTACTTCACTTTAAAATACCAGTTTATGAGTTTAATTATTGAGCTGAGTAAAATACATTTTAAAGACAAGTACTGAAACTGTGAGTGTGTGTGTGTGTGTCTTTTCAGACAGCAAGCAGCTGTTGGACAACATAGAAGCACAAATATCACAGATCGCTGGTGACCTTCCTCTGCCTGCTTTGAACGACATTTCGACGACTCTGGACGGGCTGCAGAGAGACATCGACAGGCTCACACCGCAAGTCGAGAAAGGCGAGCGTATCAGGTGAGAAGACTGGACCGTTGACTTTGCATAAAGATGGGTGACATGTCTCTGCTGTTTCCTCCTCATGTACAAAACTGAAGCCAAAATACCCCAGCAACGGTTGCTGGCACATTGTGCTGCTGATGTAATTGCTCTGCTGGTGGAGCCCCAGTAATGATGTCCAATGCTAATGCTAACCAAAGCACACGTTTAACGTACAGATAAAACAACAAAGATACCTGTGGTCGGTTCAGTCCACAGCAGAATAGAATCTTGAGTCGATTTGAAGCAGATGCTAACAGTTATGAAAAGTTAAATGACGTGTGTCAGCTTTTGTCTCTCTCCTCCTTTATTAATCTAATCTGTTGCACACAGCGCAGAAGGAGGTGCATTTATCAGCGGCGCTGTCAAACGTGGCGTTATACTTCTTTTCGTTAGCATCTGGCACCAGAACCAGAAACCATGTTTGAGAAACATTCATTTGACATGCATTGTTAGTTTATAGTTTGACCCATGTTCTGTCTGTTAACCTAAAGAAGGCGGAGCCATATTGGCTTCACTTTTGGAAAGCTCTCATGATGTCCATCTTTGTATACAGTCCATGGGGCGGACATGCAAACGCTCATGATCAATGCAATTGAAAGTGGAGCTCTGTAATAGTGTGTGTATTCCTCTCCAGGTGGGGAGTGTGTGTGGCCCTGTGCTGCCTGGTCCTCCTGGTGGTGGTGTGTAACCTCCTGGGTCTGGTCCTTGGCCCTTTGGGTCTGAGTCCAAACAAAGACCCAACAAAACGCTCGGGTACTGCCGATTGTGCAGGCACCTTCTTCATGATGTGAGTGCTGGATTGTTATATCGATGTTTTGTCACAAAGCGTATAGTCTTATGCTGCATTAATGCGTACATTTCCCAAGTTCTAAGTCCTCTTCTGTCAGTGTGTTCACAAAGCTTTAGGTAAAATATGAAACAAATGAGCTGCAAAATTGATTTTTAGTCCACAAGCCGTATATGTACATACAGTTTGTTTGTCCATGATTTACTGTCTGCCTGTCTGTCTAATTTAGGCTGCAATGTTTCAGTGTTTTTTTACTTCAAGTATAACAACTCTGTGAGACGTCTACCAACATTTTTTGACTTGAATTTTCAGTCATGCAGAATTATTTTTCCAATTATTCAGATACGACATTAATGAACGATTATCTCAGTGAATCCACTTCAGGAGCAAATGTTTGAAGCTTAACTTTGATGTGGTGGTTTTTTCAGGGGTGCAGGTTTCAGCTTCCTCTTCTCCTGGCTCTTCATGATTCTGGTTCTGGTGCTGTTCCTAGTGGGTGGGAATGTTTACACTCTGGTCTGTCGGCCCTGGAACAACGGACAACTGCTACAGGTAACAACTCAAGTAGCGGCAGTAGCTCAGTCTGTAGGGACTTGGGTTGGGAACCGGAGGCTAGCTGGTTCAAGTCCCAGTGCGGACCAGATATGGAAGTTGGTCTGGTAGCTGGAGAGGTGTCAGATCACCTCCTGAGCACTGCAGAGGTGCCCTTAAGCAATGCACCAAACCCCCTTCCCCACCTTCCACTCATGAGTGCCTTCTGTGGTCCGCTCTGTCACTCTGACATCTTTCCATTAGTGCGTGTCCATAGGATCAGCCTATGTGTGTGTTCATGACTTACAGAGTGTAAAAACTGAAATTTCCCCTTGCAGGGATCAATGGAAGTAAATCTTAAGAACATACACGACCTGAACGCATTCTATGTTTGCACGCCAAAGATCCCCATAAGTTATTATTTTGGTCCTCACAAAATAAAACAAGAAACTCCAACCAAATCTCACAGGGGACAACCTTCAAGATCAATGAAACACTGTGAGATGTCGATGTGTTCATATCAGATCTTTGCCTCTTCTCTTCACAGCTCATCGATACTCCAGGTTTAATTCCAGGGCTGAATTTGAGTGCAAGTTTGGGATTGAAATCTGAAATCAGTATCTCTGATATCTACAGGTATGTGATGCCATCTCCTACATACACAAGAAGTCTCCATTAAATGCAGCTTAGTTTACTTTCTTAGAAGATCTATAATGACCTTGCCCACCCAGAAAAGTGAATGTAAGTTTTTAAGGTTATGAAGGGCTTTGTAAAAGATAATAAAAAGTCTGAAGTTGGGGGATAGGGAGCCAGAGGAGGTTAAGAAGGATGGGGGGGCGATGTGGTCACGGGTGAGGGAATTAAATGTTTGATTTTTAAGATGTGAATTATTTTGTTAACAGTTGAACGTTTTTCTTTTGTCCTAAATGTTTGTCAAAAATGGTTAAAACAAACTTTTCTTTGATTTTCTTTTGTAGCACGGTTTCTGCCTTTATCGAGTTCATTTATTCCCTGAGATAATAATAATAATAATAATACCTTTTATTTGAAATGTTGAACGACAGACTCGGCTGTCTTTCTGTCTGTTGATGAATAGTGAAAAACATATTAATGTCCTGCCTTCAGATATGCTACAGGTCTGAAGTTAACAGGACTTATAAAACGTCACTATGATCAGAATCTGTAGAAATAAGTTCCACTTGGTGTTTGTTCATGTTTTCAGAGACTGTGTGGCGAACAAACCTCTGTGGACAACGCTCCACCTGAATGAGCTCATAGACCTGGAAGACCTGCTCAACGTGTCCAAAGTGAGCTTATTGACAGTTCTCTCTCCATTTATAATAATAGATTAAAAAAACAAAACTATTTGCCACGCTCTCTCCTCGTGTCTCACAGTACACAGATCAGATCGAGCAGTTCTTTGAGAGTACAGACATCCCTCTGTCGTCGTTCACTCTGCTGAGCCCTGAAGTTAAAAACCAGCTCAGCAGCTTCTCCGACAAGACCAAAGACCTTGACTCAGTTGACATCACACAGCAGGTGGGCTTTATTAATATTTCTGTATCTTCGTCCAGATTTACTCTCATTAAATTAACCTGTTTTCCTAACGTTTCCCTTCTCGTCATTCCCAGTTAAATAACATTACTAGGATCAATCTAAACACAACGGCTGATAAACTTGACCTGCTCGCCACCTTTCAAGTGAGTCACGAGACACTGATATAACACATCATTTCTTGTTGGTATTCTAACTTTTTCACATGATTTCTAACTAAGTTATTTAGTCTTCTGCGGCTCATTCTCTCTTTGAATCATTGATTTCTGGTTTCTAGTCGAATGATGGTGTTAAAAAAGAGCTTCAGAATCAGGCCAGAGACCTGAGGCAGATCCAGGCTGACATAGAAACAACCATCATTCCTCAAATGGTGAGTATCTCTACTGCCATCTCTTCATTCTGCCTCTCCTTTCCCCCCCCATGTTGGCTATACATCTGAATTTAAACTCAACACATCTAATGCTTCTGCCCTCAGGAAAAGCTCAACTCGACCATCGCGGGCCTTCGATCCATCGCAGAGAAAATCAATGTGAGTCCACCGACTAACACCTGGAACTGCCGAGAATACAGATCATCATTTTTTTCTCTCTTTTTTTTTCTGGACTTAATTTCTCTCCTCTTGGGCTCTCCCAGGGAACGGTGGGGGAGGTGCTGAGCAACGTGGGAGCAGCACAAGACTTCCTCAACACAAATACGACACAGATCGTCAAGACCGTGAGTAGAGCCGGGAGTCACATGAGTTGGAAGAGAGAAAAAAGAAAGGGCTCCATGTGGTCTGTTAATGCCTGTGGTCCGTCAGTCACTTAGCCAGAGGCGGCGAGGTGTGTGGGGGGGGGGAGGTGGGACTGCACCAGTTTGTATGGGAGAGCTGCTTGTTGTTTCATATCCCAAGGGCAAAGATAAAATTTTTACTCCAATCTCAGTTCATGTTGACTTTAGATACGTCTGTTCAGTGGAGCAGAGAGGCCTACAGGAGACCCTCTGAGTCTTAGTGCTTCTAACATCCATCTCGTGTCCAGTGATTGTTGCTCCAACATTTCATTGGCTTTTACATTTATTATTATTTTATCCGTCAGGAAGATCAAAATCATCTGAATACCAGTCAATGAGAGGTCAATCTGCCCTCGCTCTCTACCTCTCCTATACCTGATCCAAGTAGTTTATAATTTACTCTTAATAAGGTAATGATAAAGTCAAATTCAGATGTAGAAGTTAAAAATAACTAACTTCAAATAGAGTAAATCATTAAGTCAGCCCGCAATGTTTCTCACGGTATTGTTATAAATGTGTTTGATTGCAATTCATTTATCAAGAAGTCTGTGATAAATTAGATCATTTTTTCACACAGCTTGACAGCAATAATATAAACCATAAATAAAAGAAACACAAAGTTTATTAGCTTTCTGTGGGAACAAAGGAGGAGACAGAGGAGGCAAACACTTAAAGGAATGATGCCAAACCATCAAACAGACAGAACAAAAGATCCTTCTACACCCTCATTATTACCCACTTACCTACAGAAGAGAAGAATGAGCCACATAAAATCAAATAAAATCTGCCCACTCTTAGCTTACATGTCAAACAAAACATACACACAAGCAGCCATAAAAACTTACAGTATGAATACAACTGAAGTTACCTTTATGTGGTGCAAAATTGATACAATCAATGAAAAAAACAAAATGCCCGTTTCCCACAGAAAACATCTCTTGTGTTCCTCTAAGGCAGAAATACATTTCTGTGAACTTCCTGTGTGTATAAGGTCATCTGATAACGCTCAGCTAACCATTCACAGGGTCCAAACTACAGAAAACACAGACGCAGAACATAGATCACGGCAATAAAAATTCAGTATCCTATAGGACTCTCACGACACCTAACCCTTTAACCCTTTAAATATCAAACACATTAACCCGCTTTACATCATGAATGATCTACTTTTTAAAGGGTCCGGTTTTAGTTTCATATTTTATTATGTCAAGAAATTAAATAAATAGATAAATAGACCCAAAACTAACGAGTTTGTCCATCGATAACTTCTGAATACTCAGTCTCACTGAGCTCTGAAATGTCTCAATAAACATCTTATAAATAAAAAGATTAATGTTATAGAATAGAATAGAATAGAATTACTTTCTTGATCCCAAACTGGGAAATTGTGGAATGTTATAATAAAAATGAGACTTCCTGTAACTCCTGTATTGTAGTTTTTAGCAAATGTGTTATCCAAATGAGAGTAGATTTTGAATTTGTTGGGGACTTTTTTTAATTATTGGATTGATTGGGGGGGGGGGGGGGGGGGGGGGGGTTGCTATGTGTGCCCCCCACGTCCTCCAGGTGGGCGGCTCGGGTTCGGGGTCTGACCAGTGGCTCCTTTCCAGCTTGTCATTCCCCCACTCTCTCACCCTGATTTCCAGCTCTGTTCACTGTCCTATCTCTAAAAACAAATGTAAAAAAGCCCTAAAATAGAAACCTTTAAATATTGGTTTGATAAATGTGTAGCACCACATGTGTGTGTTAAATGTTAACACAGGAGTATCTGTGTTTAATGATATTAAAGAACATGTCTCCAGTGTAACAATGTTGCTCAGTTTGCATTTTAAATGTCTTTCGAGAGGTTTATTGGCTGAAGAGAAAAGCTGTTTATGTCTGTTTCCAGCACAGACACCAGATGAAGTCATGATTTCTGTTTTCAGGGGGATTTGTTGACAAAAAAGACAAATAGGATATGACCAGTCTTTTCCTTAAACAGGGCTGTGTAAATAAACTTTCCAACTTGCCTTGCCTCATCTGATCACAACTCTGGTGTGATTATTAAAGGGTCACTTCAGAGGATTTACCCAGAATCCAACTTGCTGAGATGGCTACGCATTCCACTGATTCCTCATGACTTCCCACTGTAAAGCAGCGAGAAAATGTGTGGAATTTACTCCTCTCTCTCTCCCTCTCTCTCTCTCTCTCTCTCGTTCTCAGGAGAGCAGAAAGTTTGTGGACTGTCAGCTGGGCTACTTCATTGTTTATGCTGACTGGGCCAACCTCACGGTAAAGCCTGTTCAGATCTTTACTGTTTTAACAAACCATGTGCCCAAAGCAGATAAAGTCTAACGTTCATAAACACATTTGAATTCATCTTTTTGCACTGATCTGTTATTGATCTGTGTGTATTATCTCTCAGATCACACTACATTTGGGCCGCTGTGGGCCGGTGGCGGATGTTGTGGACTCTGCTGAGCGTCTCCTCTGCTTAAACTTGGTGGAGTCTCTGGTGAGGATCACGTGTTGTTTGCTCCACCTGCAGCATTTGTGAAGCTCGTTTATGTGACAGTATGTCAAAGTATTCACCCATAATCTCTCTCTTCAGAACGCCTTCTGGTTCAGTCTGGGCTGGTGCATGATCTTCTTCATCCCCAGCATCATCTTCTCTATCAAGCTAGCAAAGTACTACCGCAAAATGAAGTACTCTGATGTCTTTGAGTAAGTAGCACACACACACACACACACACAAACACACATAAAAAACTAAAAACATGCATCCAACACCAGGGTTATTGTTCCTGGTGAAATGGGAGTGACTTATGCTGCATTCATGTGCTGCTCGGGTGGTCAAAGTTTCCGAGTTGGCAAGTCGTTCTTCCGACTTCAGCGTGTTCACGTGATTTCAGTTCAGAAAGTCAGAATGTTGTAACAACGTCAAAAAACAGCGTTGATGCTGCGAGGAAGATGTGTGTAATGTAACTGTTACAAGTTATCTTGAAGCATGAAGTTGATGTGCAATACGTGAATTAATCAAAAGTATTTTAAAATTAACACAACATATTTTGGAACCCCAGGTGATGACGATTTTGACGTCAAGTCGGTAAGTCGGGCACATAATTCTTTTTTTGAGTTTCCGAGTTGTTGTTCCGACGTTAGCAGGTGTTCACGTGCATTTTGCAACTCGGAAACTCGTTTTTACGAGGTATCCGACACCACATGAATGCAGCATAATGTTCAACTTCCTGAGCTAGTTCAACTGGCCGCTAGCAGCTTTTGTTGCATTTTATCGTAGCAGATATTCCTTTTGTTTTTTTTAAACTCTGCACTGTGACTTTTAGAGATCCATCTTCTGTTTGAGTCCTTAAAGAAAAACTTTTATTTACCAACTACATTTTAAAATGAACATAAAATGAATATCTACTCTACATGCAGTGGCGTGTCAAAGGAGAGTTGCCTTGGGTGGCATGGACCCACCCTGAAATCTGATTGGCCACCCAAAGTGCCACCCTATAATGCTAAATTGTGATGGCTATTATTGCCCCATTCAGAGGAAGGACTTATATTGTAAACAACTTATTGGGCTTTTGCAACAGGCTGTAAGTAGCTTGTGTGGAATTCTGTTGTCGGAAAAAAAAATCCTTTTGTTTGGTTTGCAGTTTGACTCAAGGAAAAATTAAACACCAAATTAAGCTCTGTCTGCAGGGGGCATGTCCAGGGGGTGGCATCCCACACACACACACACACACACACACACACACACACACACACACACACACACACACACACACACACTCCCCTCCCATAAAATCTCATTGGCCACCCCAGGGTTAAAAACTGACTTTTTGTTTGTCTAACAAGCTGATGTTAGCCTTTATGTCATCATAACATGCAACACCATTTATATTGTTCATTCTTAAGATTGTGACTTTGAACAACATTTTTGAATGTCAATTAAGTACAGAAGATGTACAGGATGCCGCTCTGTCGTGTGCTTTTTCTGTTAGTATTTAAAGTAGATATGATTATTGGAGATGGAAATGGTGAATACATATTCAGATGTGTATTTGTGTGTATTCAAATAACTCAGTTCTATGGTTGTTCCGCCCCTCTGGAGACGCTCCTGTCCACTACATCTATTTATACACTTGGTCCATGCATGCAGTATTTATTCACATGACTTATTAATTATGCTGTGATGACCTGCTTTTAACTGTTGTTGTTTTTTTTTCAACCTCCAGAGAGAACTTACACATGCACTCCATCCCCCGGGCCCAGATGAAATTCACCTGAGACCATTGGACATTGGGCCAAACAGCTTTAGAAGGCTGCATGTGGCACAAAAAAATAAACCCATGGAGCACTCATGCACAGATGTGGCATATTGTCACTCGTGGAACATCTCTACCAAGCATTTCATTCACGACACACTCAGCATATTTCAAACGACCTCAGGGGAACACAGGGCATAAGGGAATCTGCAGGGATTGTTTCTTATCTTTAAAAAGTATTTGAAGGATTTTCATTTCATTGGTCGTTTTATTACCTTCAGATTGTGTATGTATTTAATATTTGAACTGAGCTGCTGCTGGAATCTGAGAATTATGCCTCACATTTCATCCTGTAAAGCTGATTTAGTGGAGAATTGATCATAATTACGCGGTTAAGTCACGTTGGTGTGCAGTGCTCAGAAAAAGCAGCAGCTGTGTTTCTGTGCCAACAGGCGTTTGCCTTTGTCGGGTTCATTTTGTGATTTTGCAACTTCTTCGGATGGGGAAACACTTTGAGATTACTTCTTTATTATACTTGCACTATATTTGAAATCAAAGCACAATTTCTGCCATAAATCATGACATGAAAATGTTTTTTTAATGATCAGTACAACTGAAGCCAGCATATCACTACCGTCAACAAGACAATGCAACTTAGACGATTTTATTACAACTGAGACTGTATTACAAGTTTTCTTTAAGTTATGTTCCTGTAAAAAAATGACGGATTTACTTCATGATTTCTAATGATTGTTTTTTATACTATGAACTGCTCTGAGCTCTTCAGTAGATTGTGTTTTATGTCTCTGTTACACAGCACTTTATATGCTCTGTTCACTGAATGTGATCGACAGGTTCTGAACATTTCTCGCCGCTGTTGTGAAAACTTCTGTAAGTAAAGATTGTCACTGATCAACAACCGCTGTGCATGTTTTCTACCTTTCAGCCGGAACGTGAGAGGAATCTCAGAGATCAGTCCTCGTCTGTTTTCCCCACAAACCATGAAACTGTTTTTTCACAGAGCAGATTTGTGACCTTGTGTGTCCTTCTGCATCTGAACCATCCTTCAGCTTGCTGCAGCTGTTCTGTCCTTCAGTTCATGTGTGACAACAACATGAGACTTTATCAGAATCATCCTATTTAGATGTGCTCTGACTTCATGTTGGAATATCTATCTTATTTGTAGAGCTGTTTTTGAAATCTTGAACAGGAAGGCCTGCCCCTGAAATCTTCCTGAGTTGCTTATTCAAACTTGTCTTCATAGTTAGAAGTTGTTAAACCAACGTCTCAGGGGGAAAGACACGGTGTATGTTGAACGCACACTACTGTAAATAAACAAGGTGCATATTTTCACAGAGGATCATGGGAGACAGCGATGATAATTCAAAAATCTTAATTACTTTACTGCATTTCTCTCATCCAAACAGATTCAAAGCACATGTTTTAAATGCCTCACTCATGTGACACTGAAAATTAATTAAAACATCAGAAGAAGAAGACTTGTGTGAGCTGGTTGAAAACTAAGATGAACAGAACTTTAATTTAGGGATTAAAGTCACGCTTAGTTTGTAATTGTGTGCTGTGTAGCTCTTCATAAGTGTAACAGACAGACTTTGATTATAAATAAAGGTTCGAGAAGAAAACTCTTATTTGGAGATTTCACAGTAACATGACCTGCTAGCTCAAATAAAATCAGGCAAACGTTGTGGTGGATGACCCAAGACGTTTTATAGCATCTAAATGAGGATTTGAAAAGCTGTCTGTGTCTTAGTGAAGAAAAAGAAGAAGGAAAAGCGTGCAAACATGTTGTTTCATCATCTTCTAAACCGAATGATGTGTTCATAGACGCAAATCCCTGAAAACAAGTTCATGCATCCATTTATTCTTTTTCGCATTAGACATAAATGAAAGCCTCCAATCAGCACTTAAATTAAATCAAAGCCTTCGGGGGATAGTACAAATTAAATTTGAGTTTGATGATCCATAGATTCATTTGTAGTCCGATCATGGGAGGTAAAACTGCAGCAGCAGCGGTATGATTAAAGCTGCAATTACTATGAAGTAGAAGGAGCAAATAATTGAGCTTTTACAAGATAGAGTGATGCTTCTTTGTAGTTTTTTTTTCCAACTTGTACAACATTTAGATTAACCCCAGCCTGAGAGCTTCATTAATAAGGTTTATGAAAATGTTTGATGCTTTATTTGTGCATTCAGGTCTCTCTCTCTCTCTCTCTCTCTCTCTCTCTCTGTCTGAAAGCAGAGGACAGAGGAACAGGCTGTTCGGATTTATTTTTGTTTGCAGGATGCCATCTATAATTAGAACAGGTGAATCGATGGCTTAAAGGGATAGCATGACTCAAGACCTTGTAACAAGAGAGGCTGGAAGCAGAAGGACTCAATCTGAAAGTGAAACGAAGAGGGAGGAGAATAACCGGATTGGCTGAGGGACCTTTTAGGTATCAGGTTATGTTTCTGCAGCTCTCTGCTGTCCTGTTGACTAAACCTCTCATTCCCCTACACCACCACCCATCCATTTGGTCACCCACTACACTTGTTCCAACCCTTGCAATCATACCCTCACACACCCGTGTGGAACCTGCCTATTTGCTGTGAGAAAAAAAAAATCAGCCGCAATTCACTCCCAAACAGTGCCTGACCTCTGCTTTTGTTTGTGATCAGCGTCAGTAAAGAGGTCGCCTCAGAAGCTTAATGGCTGAACGACTGAACATTCCTCTTATGGGCCCCGGCCATTGAAACATTAACACACACACACGCTCAAATCCCTCTGCAAATCAAACACACACACACACACATTAGACCACCGCTGTAAGTGGATTTGTCCATGGCAGGGATATGGTGAAACTTGGAAATGGGGGCAGTGGATCATATGAATGAAGTGTGTGTGAGAGACTTTAAATTTTGGCCTTACTAAGCTTTTATTTCAGCCCGCTGTTGGGGAAATTAGACTGAATTAACTGTTAATAACCAAGTAGAAAGAGAAAAAAAAGGTGTATATTGGTCCTGATGTCATAGTGTGTTGTGATTGAATAGAGCATGTTCTGTCAGCTTGACCTCCTGATGTGCAGCCGTGTCAAAGCAAAACGCTAATAAGCTGAACAAACCAGAAATACAGCAATGTGTGGGAACAGGAACTTAGAAGGTAGGTGACACTGACACATGTGTACAGGTATAAGCTGACAGATACATGTGTTGTTAATTTACAGGGAGGAAGGGATGTAACATGATCATAATCTACCCAAATCAAAGCTTGTAAAAGCTACCAGTGCAATAAACCAATACGTCTGAATATTAGGAGCTTTTTTTTTTTCGGGGCTTAATAACAGCTTTCAGTACACTGCAAAACTGCTGAGCAAGCACTTCAAAAACATCAAAAACAGAATTTGTATCTTCAGTTTAATAGCAATACAGCATCCATTCATAAATACATCACGTATACATCCTCTATTTTTCAAATACTTCCTAAAAGAGAGCAAGTAACAATGCAAACACTGCAGAGCAAATCCAGCAGGTATTTCTATGAGTGAACACAAACCGAGAGAGGGCAAATTAATGTTTGACATCGCAACCGTCATAACAGGCTGAGCAGCACGTCTGGGGAAGTCAGGGAGTTCCCAGTGACTCTGGAACATGAGCGGTACACAGTAAGAACAGAAATGTTCCTGTTCATACTCTCGATTATAGTAAGACATGAGTCGGTTTCAAGTCGTAATTAAAAAGTCATAAAAAACAGACTGCAGAGTCCGAGTGCTTTTTTTGACCAACAATGACCAATAAAAACAAGCAAACACGGTTAAAAACACTGTTCTCTAAAAGTCAGAGACGTCCAGTTCTTTCTTCAGAATATTAGTGAAGCTGAGGAGTCCCAGCAGGAATGTGACACTGCTCTGTAAATGAAGAGCAGCACTGTGAAAGGCACTCTGATTGTTCGGCAGCATTTTGGAGTCCGATTGTCACTCGACACTTAAAGACGTTTTACTAGAGTTTCAGTGCCTCGCCCATACTGAGCAGAGAGTTAGTAGTATTTAGAGCTTGTTAAAATCAAATCAAAATGTTTGTGAGGGCCCCGCATTTACAGAAAAAACTCTCTCTCTGACTTAAACAAGCTACACTAACAGAATGAACACAGGCACAAGATACGAAAGTGCAATCTGTTTTCAGAGCAAACCTAACACAGAGGGCTTCACATCTCTAATGACATTACCCTCGCTGAGTACATGAAGGAGGACCAACACGACTTTATGCAAGCAGCAACGCGCCTTTCGGTAGTCACGTCGTGCCCAGCCCTCGCTTCAATCTTAACACAATTACCTCCCAAATTGAATTAAAGTCAAACTGTGAGTCACTCTTTCTGGGGTGTTTTGTGAGAAATGTCTTGTGAGTCAAGCTGCGAGGGAGGCAGATAGGACAAGATGGAGTCAAGAGAGAGAAAAATGTAGGACCAGAATTTTAAAAAATTGGAAGACGCCAGGAATATAGAGTGTGTTTTGGGAGTTTGGTTTACAGATGTTGCACGGTCTGGACAGGTTAATGTTTAAGAAACCTGTCATATGTTACTAATACTAGTATCAGTGAGGGGACCTTGGACCCCTCTTCCTCCTCTTCAACCCAAACAACACTTAAAAAACAAACATTCAAACGCAAAGGCCAGCTCGTCTGGATAACACTGAAGATTACCCACTCAGGAAGCTAGATTAACTCGGCTATAGATAAGAGGCATTTTCTATTTAAAACTCCAAACTAAAAAAAAGATCTACACATAGATATGATACACCCCTAAAAAAAAAAAAGGGAATTAGTGGCTCGGTTTTTTTTGTCAGAGATGAGAAGACACCACACTGTGTTAGAAACAATATATTATCATTTATATTGATGGTATTCGGGTAAAGGCTAAGCTTATTCAATGCAAGTCTATGCAACAACATTCGCAATCCACGTGCAGTTAAGGCTAAGGAGATAAATAACATCACAGATACAGTATATACACATTAAGGCTTAGAATTACCTGCAGTATTTACACCGGTAAGATCTTCAGTAGTCATTTCATAGTTTCTAGTAGTCATACTTCATCTGATAATACCATTCTTATTTTAAAAAAAAACACACACACTCTCAAACATCACAATTAACTGCATCCCACTGATCTGTAACATACTGACATTGTATCTTTAATTTGATTGTCGACACATGTTGGTCACAGTTTGTTTCACAGTCAGATTGTGTGGCAGGTTTTTGTTCTCCATTTTGATCGTCTTTATGTTCATCTTTTTAATCACACTGTGTTAGCAGGAAGTGCCACCCTGGTTCTCGCGAGAGCCGTGCGTGCGGGCGACTGCCCCTCGGGTGTTTCTGCAAGAAAATCTGCTGCGATCTCGCCCTCCACGGCCGAGTTTCTGCAGGGATCTGTGGCGGGGTTAAGTTGCTCTACCGGCTGGCGGGGAGGTGCGGGCGGGGGGGAACGACGGCGACTGGAGGATGTCGGCGTAGCGCTGGCTCGGCTTGGTCTCCCTCTGAAGGACTTTTCTCAGCAGAGGTTTCAGCAGCCCGATGGTTAACTGGCTGTTCTGGGGGGTCCGCAAAGGGAGCAGGGGGCGAGGGGGACGTGATGGACATGGAGAAGGACGAGGGGGAAGATGAAGGGGGGCTGTTCGGGGAGGGGAGGTTTTTAAGCACCAGGTTGAGAATGGTTGTGACAGTGAGGTCCTCGGGACACAGCACCCACAGTAAGTCCAGGTAGGGGTCTAGGTCTCGATGGTGGGCCACCTCGCACAGCAGAGTGGTGAAAATCTCCTTGTTGAGCAGAGGACTCTGCTTGCAGAACTTCTGGGCGACCTGTGTAACCTTCTCCCACTGCTGCGTGGCCATGAGGATCCTCAGAGCCTGGAGGATGGCGTTGGGCCGCCCGCTGACCAGCAGCAGCTCCACCTCCAGGTCCTGCTGCTGGGCTCGCTCAATGCTCAGGCTGGACAAGACGCACAGGGCCCGTTTGTAGAGTGGGACGTTGTTCTCCCCGCCCTCCCCTCCTCTCGCACTGGAGAAGCCCCAGGAGGAAGAGGCCAGGCTCAGGCCCAGACCCGTAGAGCCCTGCTGCTGCTGGGCAAGCTCCAGGAAAGTGGGCAGCCAGCTCGGCTGAAAGTGGAAAACCGAGTGGCAGAGGAGCTCGAACACAGGCAGGTTAGCCAAGGGGGTGGAGCTTGTAGGTTTGGCTTTACAATTGGCAATATGATCACCTTTGAGGCTGTGATTGTGTTTCGGCCTGCCGTTTGTGAGTGCCACCGGGGTTGCGGTACTGGGCGTCACGGCGGGACTGAGGACAGTTTTCCACACATCTGCAGAGGCCCGGCTGGACAGAGAACACTCCCCGTTGTAGTGCAGCTGAAGGGCAGCCTGTGCCGCCCTCCACGCCTGGCTGGGGAAGGTACTGAAGATAGAGTTCAGGTAAAGCAGAGCCTCTTGCTCCAGCTCCGAGGACGACAGCAGCCTCGCTACTTCTTTCTCGACCAGCGTCTCACACACGGCCTCCACCTCTTTCGCACTCCCCCTCACTAAGCTGCCCTTAACCTCCTCCAGAGTGACCAGACACTTGAGCTCAGCCTCCAGAGAAACCGTGAGCTTATCTTGCCCCGCAGTGCGTCCGTCTTCTCCTTCCTGGGGTGCCTCTGCTCCTTTCTGCCTCAGGAGGTAGCTCCTGAGGATGGAGGCTAAAGAGATGGGAGCCTGAAACCTCCCCCCTTTCTTCAGCTTGTCCACAGTGAGCTGGGTGCTGCTCAGGCTCCTCTGCTGGTAGTATTTACACGCTTCCTCGAAGACAGACTCGACGAGGAGGGCTCCAGGATCAATACTCTCCGTCGTACTGAAACCACAAGGCTTCACCTTGTTAGAGTCAGTCTCCTTGTTTAATAACATAAATAGTCCAGTTTCTGTAAGAAGGTGAGGTGACCATTTTTCAGCTCGGTTTACAAATAATATCCCCTCTCTCTTTAGCGTGAGCTTGTCCAGCTCCCTGCCACAGTTCACATCTATCAGACGCAGGTTTTGCCCTATAAGCAGAGCCAGCGTGTCCTGGTACATGCAGAGGCTGGTGTGAGTGCCAAATTTGACCAAACAGTTGTCTTCCAGTTTAAAAACCTGCCTCAGCACCCCGTCTTTCTGCAGAAAACACACCCAGCCCGTGCTGAGCAGCAGCAGCAGGCCTCCACAGCCCGTAGGTGAAAAGTCAAAGATCTCAGGGGGGTCAAGAGTCGATAGGTATCCCAAATAGTCCGGCACTAATCTCTTAAAGTCAGACTCTTTTGCTGACAGCTTTTTGAGGGGCGTGTTTTGGCACGTGGCGCTCACTGTGAAGGAGTCGTGGCGCGGGGACCAGGAGAGGAAAAATTTGGAGATGCTCAGCAGAGGCTTCACCTTCAGGTCGGGGAGGAGATGCACGCAGTCGCCCGAGCTCACCACGCTGAATTTGGGATTGTTGTGGAGGGCGATTTTCACCCCACCCAGGCTGACAGCCCCCGCCTCCTCCACCTCGAAGTCACGTCTGCAAACACAGTATCTCAGTTTATTCCTGGTGGAGCTGAGGGCCGGGGAGCTCTCTGAGGGCGGCCTCTCCTCACACCAGATGATTAGATTAGGACAGGCACACACGGACACCACTCTTGCTCGGGGGCTGTTGCACAAGTCTGATGTTTGCAGGAGGTGCCAGCCTGCTTTGCACTCCTGGAATCTCCAAAACTCAGCTTTCCCGTCCTCATAAATCACAGCCACAGTCGCAGTCTCCCTGCTGCTGCTGCTGATCTTATTATAGTCCAAATACACAACATCCACAATGGGTACAGTTCGTGTTGAGCGTAAATCCAGTTTCTTCTGGTTCTGGGCCAGCTGGAGTCTTTCATACTTGTCAAAAGTCACAAGACCGACTTTAGGCTTGCGGAGGATGACATGGATGTGACGTCCATCTGGGCTCAGGCGGACGTTTGACAGGTTACAGGTCAGTTTTAAGATTTCAGTCAGCTCTTTGCCACGCGTAAAGTCCCCAAAATCTGACAGTGGCTCCAACTCCGACCGCGCCATTACGCCACTCGTTTCCAGCCGAAACTATCTGCCTGCTAGCTGCAGCTGTGACCACAATAAATCCCGACCTCGGACTCCGGTGAGGCTAACCGAACAGCATCCCGTTAGGTTGTACGAGAGGCTTCATCCCCGTTGACGCTGAAGGATACACCACATGACAGCCCGTCGACCCCGCTGACCCCATGTCAGGGGACGACACCGGAGCTTAACGGTGAACTGACAATAACCGAAAGAAAAGTTTTAAGCCTGAGGAATCGAGCCAGCCCCTGTAGTCATTCCGGTGCTATGCTAGCACTCCCCTGACATCACGGGATCGTTAATTTCCGGATACCGATGATGTTTTTTTTGTGTGTTACAGGCGGAGCTAAACGAAGGCAAGCAAAGAGTGTCAAGAGGTGTAGAGAAGAGCAACTCCCGCTGCTAAAAAGGGCTTCAGTCAGCGGTGCCCAGCAGGGTGAGGCAAGTTCATAATAAACTCGAGTTAAACATCTTAACATCTTTGCGTTGGAAATACATACATTATGGTTCTACGAAATCCATAAAATCTGTTTGACAAGCAGGAAATCAATATAACCTCTAGGGCTGTTCGATTATAGAAAAATCATAATCACGATTATTTTTGATTGATATTGAGATCACTATTATTTAACTAGTTTGCTAATTTATTTTACAACATCTGTATCTCATTCATATATCAAATGTTAAGACTCTTAACCACTTTAATATTCTGAACACGTTGAAAAAAAGCAATACATGAAGGTAAATTGATAAACATTTTGAAAATATATAAAAATAACAATAAATAATAGGCAACAAAAGGCAAGTTTATTTATTGAGCACATTTCAGCTACAGGGCAATTCAAAGTGCTTCCCACACGCCATCAAAAGCATCATGACAAAGGGAAAAAGAGACATTAAAATAGAAGATATATCTTAACATCTTTGCGTTGGAAACACACATATTATGGACTTTTACCACTTTTACTAAATCCATAGAATCTGTTTGACAAGCAGGAAACCAATATAACCTCCAGGGCTTATAGAAAAATCATAATCACGATTATTTTTGATTGATATTGAGATCACTATTATTTAACTAGATTGCTAATTTATTTTACAACATCTGTATCTCATTCATATATCAATTTTTTCATGATATCACATAACGATGTCGTCTGTTGTCTTTTTCTTCTAGTTCCATCCCTCCGCCCTTAAAAAATTAAAAATTCATCTATGCTGATATGTATATGTGGGCATATACAATCATTTTAAGACTCTTAACACTTTAATATTCTGAACACGTTGAAAAAAAAGCAATACATGAAAATAAATTGGTAAAAAGTTTGAAAATATATAAAAATAATATAGGCAATAAAAGGCAAGTTTATTTATTAAGCACATTTCAGCAACAAGGCAATTCAAAGTGCTTCCCACACGCCATCAAAAACATCATGACAAAGGGAAAAAGAGACATTAAAATAGAAGATATAAAAATCACTTAAAAAAAAAACAATTCACAATCACAGAGAAGATTAAATCTTAAAATATGTTAAAATAAATAAGAGCGATTTAAATCCAAACACCAAGTCAGTTGGGCAGTTTATCGGAGATAGGATGGAGAAAATGCAATTTATGGGGGTCATATTTTTGGCTTTATATGGTTTAGTGTGTGTTATTGAACACCTTCAGATCCAGCTCTAATGCAAACAGAATGAGCAGTCTTCCACTTAATTTCACTCCAATATTATGATCATAGGATATTTGCCCATTTTGTTTTATGTCTAAACCCTTTGTGTTGCTGGGGCACGTTTCAAAGGAAACAGAGAAACTCATCTTTGCAGCAGTGCTGGCACCAGCTGTTAAGTAGCAGTAGGTGAGGTGAAAACAATAAATGCACAAATGAGGAACTGTGAGTGTTCCTTGTCTGGTTTGACAGCAAGGATGTTTTAAAGCTCACTCATAGACACTGTAACCATGGAAACCAGTTTTTACCTCCTGATTTGTAGAAGCAAGGATCGGGCTCATCAAATGAGAAACTGCTCCAGACCAGTACGTCCTTGTTCATTTTGGCAAGAGGCTGTGAAAAGCGTGGCTGGACTGTAACAAAGTCAGCTGGGTTAATACCAACCTGAGAAACTGACTCTCTTAATAAGCTTTGAAAATAAGAGACTTCCTGTTTCAAAGCACAGACATGGCTGCAGGAGGATTTGTCAAGTGTGGTATGTTGGACTCGATGAGTCAGCAGAGGACAGGCTGGTAGGCGTATATCAGGGGTCAACTATCAGCATCCAGAAGTTAAAAAGAAAAAAACTGCATTGTGTTTTAAGGGCAAATAACTTCATTTAAACTGGAAAGAAAGTCTCAGTGGTGACTCACAGTGTAAGTGAACGCCTGCCTGCTGTGAAAGGCCCTGTTTATTACTTTGACAAACTTTCCTGGCAACTTACAAGTCAGAAACATTCCAGTCAGCCCACACTGTGAAGCTGCTCTGTTAGTAAACGGTACTGACATTAAAAGAGCCACGTACAGTCATAGGTTTTGGTCATTCGGTGGACATTGGTGTATACAAGTCTGTAATGCATAATCCCTATTTTAATGTAATGCAGCAGATTTACTCTTTGCGGCTCTATAAGAGCATCTTGCTGACATTTCTGACTCTGTGGACTTTCGAGTAATGTAGAAATCAGATTCTCTGCAGAGATATTTGTGTTAAACATCCATTAGTGAATGCTCTATGCTACATTACTGTGGTTGCGAGAGGGCACTGATCATACTGTTAAAAAATAACTTAATAATATTAAATAGATTAGCAGGCAACTTGTGATACTAATTACATGATCAAATCATGAGGGATGCTGTCTTTGTCATATGGTGTCATCTTATCTTTAGCTTGTTGTTGACTTATTTATATTGGCTTTTCCGACAATTTGTAAACCATCTTTAATGTAAATCAGCACTGGAACTATTAAAACCAGTACCAGTATTTTATCTTTGCTGGTCTGTCATAGATGCCATTTCACTTTATACCCAGCAGGGGGCAGTCTTGATCTTTTCATACTGCATGCAGACTGTTTAGAAGCTCTGTTAACAAATAAAACAAGCGAAAACACATCATAAGTTCTGCCTGGTTCAGAGTTAAAAATGGATGATGCTTTTCTTTAAAATGTCTTTATCCCTGACTTCACTGAAATATCAAATCGTCCTCTGAAGCTCTACAAGAAAACTCAGACTGCTTTTCAATGACTCTCACATGGCTGTACAGACCCGGCATCACAAGACTGCTCTCTTCTCTCAGCCACAGTAAACTACAGTTGTCCCTTTAAACCCATGACTTTAATTGTCTCTGTTTATGTTACTACTTCTGGACATTACAAGCTGTCCAGTAAAAGTCACAGTCGTCCTGCGTTGATGGCTGTTAAGATCGAAAGTTCCCTGCGTGGTTTACGAGGGATTTGAACAAGATAACATTCATTAATTCTCCTTCTTACTTTTCCAAACTAACGACTAAAACAATAGTTTCTTGCTGCGTCTAAAGCTCCCTGTCTTTCACACATTCTTTATACCTTTTTCTTATTGGATAAAAGTCGGATACCAGTTTGCCAGAAGGACAACAGAAAACAGTGTGAAATTGAAAATGACTTCCCTGTTGTTCTTTTAAACTGTCTGTGACCTAACAAGCAGAACAATAATTTGAATGAGTTTCCATGAGGTTGCTCTTATAAAGCCTGTGTGTGTGTGTGTTTCTCTCTTTCAGCTCTCATATATTTATGTGTGCTGTCTGTATTATTATGCCAGAACGCACTTTCAGTGAGGTAGGGCTCCCCTTTTATATCGGTGCTATGGGTGCATAATGTCCTATTATGTCTCTGTGTCATGCTGATATGGATGCGGTATATTATTCAAACAGGGGAATCAAACCATGCCGCCTCCAGACAGGCTTGTGTTGGACTGAAAAACACCCTCTATTAGAGAGTGTGTTTAGTCTGCTGTGCCTGCAGACAGGAAGATAAAGTGCTTGTCTGGGGACTAGAGGGCTTTGGTAGCAGCAGAGATTTCCTCCTTGAGTTATACGGTATATTAAAGGAAACCAATGGCAGCAAGATTTTGCTACTCATGGTTAAGAAGATGGGTAGGCTCTGTCATCTTTGCATCGCCTCGGGATAGAATTATTTTAATTTGAACACAATGTAATAGACAGGAGTGTCTGCGTGTGGTTGTGTGTATGTGAGAAAAGAAATATATGTCTCAGTCTAGAAGCTGTACCGCTCTGTGTGTCAAATGGAAGTTGCGGCTGCACGTCAGCCAACTGTCTCCCCATGCGAAAGAAAGCAGATAGCACTGTCAGTTTGCTCCGGCTGTTGTAGAGCTATCATGTGTTCACAGCCTTTATTTCTCCACATCTCCCTTATCTTATGTATTATGTCTCTTCACCTGAGTATTCTGTCTGGAGCTTCAAAGGGGGGATTTTGTGTTGACATACTGTGTGGTATGGGAGGAGCCATTATTTCAGTATTCACACATTTATTTTATTCTTAAAGGTGTAATATGCAACATTTAAAATAATAATAATACAATTAAATATCTCTAATTTAAATCCATTGTTAGGTTATTACTTTTTATAAAGAGGGTGAAGTCAAACCCCCTGTGGGTTTGTTGTTCTTCGCTCTGTGTTCACACTGATATGACGGTGCTTTCATCAACTTGTGTTTGTGTCACTCAGAGTCAAACATGTTTCATAAGCTACATGTTTTTCCATGTGAACCCTTTCCCGCTCCAACTCTCTGCCCTGACGAGAGACTGCCGCCTCACTCAGGGAGGTGTTTGTAGACACCTAATGGCGGGGAGTAAAACTGATGGAGATCCAATAAACTTTCCAAACTGAACAAACAACTTTGTTTGGTCAAAAACACTTAAAACAAGTAAGAACCAGCTTAATGTTGGGCTGCTTGTCTAGATGATGATCTGTCCTACACACGGCTGCACTTGGTCAGAATACTAAGGAAGGGGGTGGGGTGAGGAGAGGAGGCGGTGCTCTGAGAGACAGAAGAGATATGGCCAAAGGAAAGACTTGCTTTGATCTGAGAGTCTGATTCTAAAGTACGGCATCTCTGAAAGTCACATAAAGTCACATAAAAGAAAAAAAGAATCAGATCTCAAGTTTTAGAGTTAGAGTATCATTATGATTTGTATGGAAGCCCTAAGCAGACATGCATCCATTTATTCAGCACGTTTACCATGATACTCAGTCATTTCTGATCGTTTTATTTATTTTCTTTACCTCGAGATAACACTGCTGGTTTTACTTTGCTAAGTTAATTCA